CCCATCCCCCCGTCCCCCCCAGGCCCCCCGCCATGAAGCACTGCTTCTACAACGAGACCGTCGGCTTCTTCTACAACAACAGCCGCAAGGAGCTGAGCGCGCACTGGCGGCCCAAGGACGTGCTGGTGGTGGCGCTGGGGCTGGCGGTCAGCGCCGTGGTGCTGCTGACCAACCTGCTGGTCATCGCCGCCGTGGCCACCAACCGCCGCTTCCACTACCCCATCTACTACCTGCTGGCCAACCTGGCGGCCGCCGACCTCTTCGCCGGCGTGGCCTACATGTTCTTGATGTTCCACACGGGGCCTAGGACCGCCCAGCTGTCGCTCAAGACGTGGTTCGTCCGGCAGAGCTTGCTGGACACCAGCTTGACGGCTTCGGTGGTCAACCTGTTGGCCATCGCGGTGGAGCGGCACCGGACGGTGCTGACCATGCAGCTGCACAGCGAGATGTCGGCCCAGCGCGTGGTGGGGCTGATCTTCTCCATCTGGGCGGCGGCGTTGCTGCTGGGCTTGATCCCGTCCTACGGCTGGCACTGCCTGTGCTCCTTGGAGAGCTGCTCCCGGATGGCGCCGCTCTACAGCCGCAGCTACCTGACCTTCTGGGCCGTGTCCAACCTGGCGGTCTTCCTGGTCATGGTGGTGGTCTACGGGCACATCTTCGTCTACGTCAGGAGGAGGATGGCGCGCATGGCGCGGCACACGGGCGCGCACCCGCGGCACCGCGACACCGTGCTGGCGCTGGTCAAGACCGTCACCATCATCCTGGGTGGGTGGTTCGTTAGGGGTTAATTGGGCTGGTCGCCATCATCCTGGGTGGGTGGCTAATTAGCGGTTAATTAGCCATTAATTAGGGGGTAACAGGGGTGCGCACCCGCGGCACCGCGACACAGTGCTGGCGCTGGTCAAGACCGTCACCATCATCCTGGGTGGGTGGTTCGTTAGGGGTTAATTGGGCTGGTCGCCATCATCCTGGGTGGGTGGTTAATTAGGGGTTAATTGGGTTGGTCGCCATCATCCTGGGTGGGTGGTTAATTAGGGGTTAATTGGGTTGGTCGCCATCATCCTGGGTGGGTGGTTCGTTAGGGGTTAATTGGGCTGGTCGCCATCATCCTGGGTGGGTGGTTAATTAGGGGTTAATTGGGTTGGTCACCATCATCCTTGGTAGGTTGGTCATTGTCATCCTGGGTGGGTGGTTCATTAGGGGTTAATTGGGTTGGTCTTCATCATTCTGGTGGGTTGGTCATCATTGTCCTGGTGGGTTGGTCATCAGAATCCTCAGTGGATGGTTATTTAGCGGTAATTAGGGGTTAATTGGGTTGGTGAGTTGGTCATCATCCTCGGTGGGCGGTTAATTAGGGGTTAATTGTGTTGGTCATCCTCATCCTTGGTGGATTGGCCATTATCATCCTTGGTGGGTAGTTCATTAGGAGTTAATTGGGTTGGTCATCCTCATCCTGGGTGGGTTGCTCACCATCACCCTTGATGAGTTGGTCATCATTCTCAGCGGGTGGTTAATTAGCGATTAATTAGCCATTAATTACGGGGTAACAGAGGTGTGCACCCGCGGCACCGCGACACTGTGCTGGCGCTGGTCAAGACCTTCACCATCATCCTGGGTGGGTGGTTCATTAGGGGTAATTAGGGGTTAATTGGGTTGGTCATCCTTATCCTGGGTGGGTAGTTCGTTAGTGGTTAATTGGGTTGGTCACCATCATCCTTGGTGGGTTGGTCATCATCCTGGGTGGGCGGTTAATTAGGGGTTAATTGGGTTGGTCATCCTCATCCTGGGTGGGTTGGTCATTGTCATCCTTGGTGGATTGGCCATCATTATCCTGGGTGGGTGATTAATTAGGGTTTAATTGGGTTGGTCACCATCATCCTGGTGGGTTGGTCATCATCATCCTCAGTGGGTGCTTAATTAGTCGTTAATTAGGGGATAAGAGGAGTGCACACCCACAGGCACCAGGACACCAGCACGGCCAAGACCATCACCATCATCCTGGGCACGTGGTTAATTAGGGGTAATTAGAAGTTAATTGTGTTGGTCATCATCATCTTTGATGGGTATTTAATGGTTAATTAGTGGTTAATTAGGGGTGATAGGTGTGCACCATGACACCATGCTGAATTTTCTCAGAAACAACATTGAGCCCATCCAGGAAGTGACCGGACAACATCAAAAATCCCAATTTTTTATCTTTTTTCCTGTTTTTCCAGGTGCCTTTGGGATCTCCGGGATCTTTTTCTCACTTTTTTCCCCCAAAGATTGGAATCCACAACGATTCCCTGGAACAATTTTATCCTGGAATTCTTCGGGTCGGAAACAACTGAAATCCCATCCAGGAAGTGATGGGACAACACCAAAAATTCCATTTTTTCCCTCTTTTCCAGATGCCTTTTGGATCTCCTGGATCTTCTTCCCATCTCTTTTCCTTCACTTTATTCTTCTCCCAAGACTCACCATGGGAATTCCACAGAACAATTTTATCCTGGAATTCTTGGGGTCAGAAACAACTGAAATCCCATCTGGAAGTGATGGGACAACACCAAAAATTCCATTTTTTCCCACTTTTCCAGGTGCCTTTTGGATCTCCTGGATCTTCTTCCCATCTCTTTTCCCTCACTTCATTCTTCTCCCAAGACTCACCATGGGAATTCCACAGAACAATTTTATCCTGGAATTCTTTGGGTGGGAAGGACCTTCAATCCCATCCAGGCAGCGACCGGCCGACACCAAAAATTCCCATTTTTCCCCTCTTTTCCCATTTTTCCAGGTGTCTTTGGGCTCTCCTGGACCTTTTCCCATCTCCTTTCCTTCATTTCATTCTTCTTCCAAGACTCACTACGGGAATTCCACGGAACAATTTTATCCTGGAATTCTTGGGGTCAGAAACAACTGAAATCCCATCTGGAAGTGATGGGACAACACCAAAAATTCCATTTTTTCCCACTTTTCCAGGTGCCTTTTGGATCTCCTGGATCTTCTTCCCATCTCTTTTCCTTCACTTTATTCTTCTCCCAAGACTCACCATGGGAATTCCATGGAATAATTTTATCCTGGAATTCTTTGGGTGGGAAGGACCTTCAATCCCATCCCGGCAGTGACCGGCCAACACCAAAAATTCCATTTTTTCCCTCTTTTCCAGGTGCCTTTGGGATCTCCTGGATCTTTTCCCCATCTCTTTTCCTTCATTTCATTCTTCTCCCAAGACTCACCACGGGAATTCCACAGAACAATTTTATCCTGGAATTCTTTGGGTGGGAAGGACCATCAATCCCATCCCGGCAGCGACCGGCCAACACCAAAAATTCCATTTTTTCCCCTCTTTTCCCCTTTTTCCAGGTGCCTTTGGGATCTCCTGGGTCTTTTTCTCACTTTTTTTCCCCCAAAGATTGGAATCCACAACGATTCCATGGAACAATTTTATCCTGGAATTCTTTGGGTGGGAAGGACCTTCAATCCCATCCCGGCAGCGACCGGCCAACACCAAAAATTCCCATTTTTCCCTCTTTTCCCATTTTTCCAGGTGCCTTCGTGGTGTGCTGGACTCCAGGCCAGGTGGTTCTGCTGCTGGACGGGCTGGGCTGCCAGAGCTGCGACGTGCTGGCCGTGGAGAAGTACGTGCTGCTGCTGGCCGAAATCAACTCCCTAATTAACGCCATCGTTTACTCCTGGCGCGATAACGAGATGAGGAACACCTTCCGGCGGCTCCTGTGCTTCCCGTGCCTCCGGAATTCCAAGTACGCCGCCCCGGAGCGGGGGCTGCATTCCCACAACGGCCACTTCACCGTGGATTCTTCCATTTAGGGGGTTTTTTGGGGATTTTGGGGGTTTTTTCGGGATTTTTTGGGGGGGCTCTGAGGTGGGAATTTTTCTTGGGAAAGTCGCGGTGGAGCGAGGATTGCGGGGTGGAGGAGAATTCTGGATTCCTTTCCAGCGTGGAAATTTTCCTGGAAAAGTCGTGGTGGGATCAAGGATGAAGTGATTTTTAGGGATTTGGGAGAGTCCTGGATTCCTGGGGAGCTCCAGAACCAAAATTTTCCTTGGAAAACTCCTGGTGGATCAAGGATTGAGAAGAATTTTGGAGTCCTGGGAGGCTGCAGCACCCAAATTTCCATAGAAAACTCCAGAACGAGGTGATTTTGTAGGTTTTGGGAGAACCTCGGATTCCTGGGGGCCTCCAACATCCAAATTTTCCTCGGAAAACTCCTGGTGGATCAAGGATGAAGTGATTTTTTGGGATTTGGGAGCATCTTGGGGGACTCCAACATCAAAATTTCCTTGGAAAACTCCTGACGGATCAAGCTTCGAGAAGAATTTTGGAGTCCTGGGGGTTCCAGCACCCAAATTTCCATAGAAAACTCAAGAACGAGGTGGTTTTGTGGGATTTGGGAGAACTTTGGATTCCTGGGGGTCTCCAACATCAAAATTTCCTTGGAAAACTCCTGGTGGATCAAGGATTGAGAAGAATTTTGGAGTCCTGGGAGGCTGCAGCACCCAAATTTCCCTGGAGAACTCTAGAACGAGGTGATTTTGTGGGATTTGGGAGAACCTCGGATTCCTGGGAGCCTCCAACATCCAAATTTTCCTGGAAAACTCCTGGCGGATCAAGGATGAAGTGATTTTTTGGGATTTGGGAGCATCTTGGGGGGCTCCAACATCAAAATTTCCTTGGAAAACTCCTGGCGGATCAAGCTTCGAGAAGAATTTTGGAGTCCTGTGGGTTCCAGCACCCAAATTTCCATGGAAAACTCTAGAAAAAGGCGGTTTTGTGGGATTTGGGAGAACCTCGGAGTCCTGGGGGCCTCCAGCTTGGATTTTTCCCTGGAAAATTCCAGGTTTTTAGGGAAACCGTCGGAGCAGAATTCCCATTAAAGACTGGTTTTAACCCAGAGTTGTTTTTCCTTGGAAAAAGCTCAGGAATCTTCCAGGGGGGGTTGGGAATTCCGAGGGTGGGATTTGGGAACTCTGAGGGGAGAAATTCTCCTGGAAAAAGCTGAGAAATCCCCCAGAATTTGGGAATTCCGAGGGCTGAAATTTCCTTGAAAATTCCACAAATCCCAGGATTTGGGAATGCTGAGGAAAAACCCAAATTTTCCCTTTTTTTCCCCTTCTTTTTTTTTTTTCTGATCCTGGAAAACTTCCCCCTGTGAGTTCTGGGAATTCCCAGGGATCCCTGGAGTGGAACCAGGGAACTTTTCCCACCTTGGCTGCAGAATTCCTCGGACCAAATGGGATTTTTTCTGGATTTCATGGGATTTTTCCAGGCAAAACTGAGGTTAGACACCCAAACCTGGTGCCCGGGATTTCCTCCAAAACTGGAATTGCTCCCAATGGGAATTTTTAAGCTGCAATTCCTTTATTTTTCCTTTAATTCTTTAATTTTTCCTTTTATTCCTTCTTTTTTTTCTCCATCGAATTCTTTCATTTTTCCCTTTAATTCCTTCATTTTTCCCTCTGTTTTTATCCCAAAAATGGGATCAAAGCTCTGCTTTGTTGGGAATCAACCACACATCTTCAAAATGACCCAAAACGGGGCTGTGGGCACAAAAAAAATCCCAAATTTTTGGGTGGAAAAAGGGAAAATCGAGAGCTGCGGGGGTGTGGCCTCGGGGAGGGGGCGTGGCCTAATGTGAAGGGGCGTGGCTACGGTTGCCATGGAGATACCATGACGTTTGGGTGGGGTCAAAAGGGCGGAAATGGCGCCTCTGGAGGCGTGGTCAGATAGGGGGCGTGACCACAAGTGGGCGGGGTCCGAAAATGGCAGAAAGGGCGTGGTCACAGCGACGGCGGGAAGATTCGTCCCCTCATGAAAGGGCGTGGTTTGACCTGGGGGCGTGGCCAAACCCAATGGCGGGAAGGGCGTCCCCTCACGAAGGGGCGTGGCCTCCTGTGGGCGCGGCGGGAGGAGGGCGTGGCCAGCGCTGGGCGTGACCACAACGGCGGCAGCGCGGGGGGGGCCGGGGGGGTGGCTCTGTGGCCGCCGGCTCTGCGCGGCTCCTGTCGCGATCTGTCGCGATTTGTCGCGCCCTGTCGCGCTCTGTCGCGCCGGCCCCGCGGCTCCAGGCCCGCCCATGGAGGCCGCGCCGCGGTTGATGCCCGGGGTGGCCCTGCCGGGGTCTCTTCCGCCAGCGCCTCCCCCCGCTGCTGCCACCAGCGGCGACCCGCCACCCTCAGGGCCACCCTCAGGGCCAGCAGCGGCGCCAGCGCAGCACGACACCGGCGATGTCCTGCAGCAGATCATGGCCATCACCGACCAGAGCTTGGATGAGGCCCAGGCCAGGTACGGGGAGGGGACACCGGCAACGGGGACCGGGGACACCGGCACGGCCGTGACTCAGCGCGGGGACACCGCGGGGACACGGCGGGGACACTGAGGGGACACTGAGGGGACACTGAGGGGACACTGTTCGCCGCTGTTCGCGGCTTTCCCGCTCCGTTCAGGGCCCCGCATCCCGGCCGGTGCTGCCGCTTCTTCCCCGCGTCCTTCCCGCTCTGGGGGCAATTCCCGGGGCTTTTGCCCCATTCCCTGTGGGGTTTTCCCTCATTTCCACACGGTTTTGCCCCATTGCCAGGGGTTTTGCCCCATTCCCAGAGTTTTTTTGCCCCATTCCCACAATTTTTGCCCCATTTCCAGTGGCTTCTCCCTCATTCTCATCTCCTTTCCCCCATTCCTGGTGGTTTTCCCCCATTCCCAGCGGGTTTTGCCCCATTCCCAATGTTTTTCCCCCATTCGCAGTGGGGTTTTGCCCCATTCCCAAAGGTTTTCCCCCATTCCCAGTGGGTTTTTGCCCCATTGCTGGGTGATTTTACCCCATTGCCAGTGAATTTTGCCCCATTCCCAGTGGGTTTTCCCCAATTCCCAGTGTTTTTGCCCCATTCCCAGTGGGTTTTCTCCCATTCCCAGTGTTTTTGCCCCATTCCCAGTGGCTTTTCCCCAATTCCTGGTGGTTTTGCCCCATTCTCAGTGTGTTTTGCTCTATTCCCAGAGTTTTTCCCCATTCCCACTGGGTTTTGCCCTCATTCCCAGCAGCTTTCCTCTCATTCCTGGTGGATTTTACTCCATTTCCAGGGATTTTACCCCATTCCCTGTTGGATTTCTCCCATTCCAGGGGTTTTTACCCCATTCCCAGCAGTTTTACCCCATTCCCTGATTCCCTGTGGGGTCAGGCAGGACAATCCCAGGCAGGTCTGCTGGGAATGGGGAAAACCCCTCGGAAATGTGGGGAAAAAACCCCAGGAATGGGACAAAAACTACTGGGAATGGGGGAAAACCATTGGGAAAAGGGGAAAACCCAACTGGGAATGGGGCAGAACTGCTGAAAATGAGGAAAAAAACCCCGGGAATGGGAAAAATTCCACTGGGAATGGGGCAAAACTCACTGAAAATGGTGGAAATCCACTGGGAATGGCAGGAAAAAACATTGGAAATGGGGGAAAAAAAAAAAAAACACGGGAGATTAAGAAAACCTCGGGAATGGAGGAAAAATTGCCAGGATTGGGGGAAAAATTTCAGGACTGGGGGGAAATCCCGCTGAATAATGAGGAAAACCTCACTGGGAATGGGGTAAAAAACCCCAGGAATGGGAAAACTGAAGCTGTTTGGAGCTGGAATTTTGGCCAGGACATAGTGGGACTCCCCAGACTGGGATAATTTGGAATAAACCCTCCATCTCCCCCCAGGAATTCCTGAATTTTAGGGAAAACCACCATTCCCTGTTGGATTTCTCCCATTCTGGGTTTTTTTTACCCCATTCCCAGCAGTTTTGCCCCATTCCTGGTGGGGTTAGGCAGGACAATCCCAGGCAGAACTGCTGGGAATGGGGAAACCCCTTCAGAAATGTGGGGAGAAAAAACAAGGAATGGGACAAAAATCACTGGGAATGTGGGAAAACTTATTGGAATTGGGGAAAACCCCTAGAGAATGGGGAAAATCTCACTGGGAATGGGGCAAAACTGCTGAAAATGAGGGGGGAAAACCCCGGGAATGGGAAAAACCCCACTGGGAATGAGGGATAAACCCTCGGAAATGAGGGAAAAAACTCCAGGATTGGGGAAAAAACTTCAGGAATGGGGGAAAAACCACTGGGAATGAGGCAAAAATCCCCAGGAATGGGAAAACTGGAGCTCTTTGGGGCTGGGTGGGATACATTGGAATAAATCCTCCATCGTCCCCGAGGAATTCCTGAATTTTAGGGAAAACCCGCACTGGGAATGAGCAGAAGTCCAGGATTTTGGTGGGTTGTGCATTCCTTAATTAACTGAGGGTAATTAACGCCTCATTAGCTGCTGCTCCGGGAGGGAAATGCCTCAAATCCTACAAAAATTGGGCTTTTTTTGGGGTGTTTTCCCTCATTCCCGCGGTTTTTGGGGAGCTGGGAGTGGTCCCCATTCGCGGGGCTGATAAAAGTCCCCGTTTTTCCTTATCTGGCCCCAAAATTTGGCCTCTTCTGGGTGCGGCAGCCCCGAATTCCAGCTGTTTCCATGGATTATTCGGAATTTCGGGGGGAGTTTTCCCTCCAAACCCTCAACATTTGGGATTAAAGTAATTTTTTGGGTTGTTTTTTGGGATGGAATTGTCAATTTTGCCCCCAAAATTCCCTTTTCTTGCCTTTGTTTTGGGCATTCCCCACCTGCAGCTCCAGTAGGGATTCCCTAAATTTGGATTTCATGGAATACTGAGGAGAATTTTGGGATATTTGGGGTAATTTTGAGTTTGTCGTAAGTTTTAATTCCCATAAAGTGAGGGGAATAATGTGCTTTTTTTAAAACAAAACCTTTAAATATTAACCCAAACCCACAATCTG